CCCACCCTTTACTACCCAAAGGTGTCTCAGAGCGGCTTACAAACTCCTTTCCCTTTCCCTCCCCACAACAGACACCCTGTGAGGTAGGTGGGGCTGAGAGAGCTCTGACAGAAACTGCTCTTTTTCAAAAACAGCTCTTATCAGAGCTACGGCCTGCCCAAGGTCATCCAGCCAGGTGCAAGTGGAGGAGTGGGGAATCAAACCCAGTTCTCCCAGATTAGAGTCCGCACACTTAACCACTACACCAAACTGGCTGTCACACACTAAGTTGCCATTTTCAGTGAGTTATCTACCATCACTCCAAGATCTAATTCCTGGTCAGTTACCACCAGTTCTGACACCATCAATGTATATTTATAGTTAGAATTTTTGGCTCCAATGTGCATTCATTTGCACTTGCCCACACTGAACCTCATTTGCCATGTTGAGGACCACTCACCCAGCCTCAACAGATCCCTCTGGAGCTCCCCATAGTCATTCCTGGTTCTCACCGCCCTGAACAACTTAGTGTCATCTACAAACTTAGCCACTTCACTGCTTACTCCCAGCTCCAAATTATTAATGAACAAGTCGCCAAGTCCCGCAGTACCCCACTGCTTACCACCTTCCACTATGAAAACTGTCCATTTGTACTCACTCTCTCTTTCCTGCTAATTAACCAGTTTTTAATCCACCAGAGGACTTGTTCCTCATAGTTCCTTTTTGCCTGTCTGATCATTGACTTGCTCCCTTTTATTTACTTCACTTGTCTTCTTGTCTCATGACTGTTGAGGAACTTTATCAAAAGGTTTCTGGAAGTCTAGGTAAAAATCATCTACTGGGTCACCCTTGTCCATATGTTTGTTCACCCCCTCAAAAAACTCTAAATTGTCAGAGGCATAAAATGCATTCAGCTTCTCTGACATTTCCCTATCATCCTTTAGTATTCCTTTTACCCCTTGGTCGTCCAAGGGCCCCACTGCCTTCCTGGCTAGTTTTCTGCTACTAATGTTTATTCTTGGTCTTCTTGTTTTTGCAATATGTTCCTCATAGTCCCTTTTTGCCTGTCTGATCACTGACAGGCTATCCTTCCACCACTTAAAGGAATCCTTCTTACCTTTTATTGCTTCCATTACTTTATTTGTTAATCATGCAGGGCTTTTTTATACCTATGGGTATATAGTATATACTTTATCTGAGCTTACAATAAGGTAAAGGTAAAGGTTCCCTCGCTCGAAAGCCAGTCGAATCCGACTCTAGGGTTGCGGTGCTCATCTCCGTTTCAAAGCCGAAGAGCCAGCGCTGTCCGAAGACGTTTCCATGGTCATGTGGCCGGCATGACTAAACACCAAGGCGCACGGAACGCTGTTACCTTCCCACTGAAGTGGTACCTATTTATCTACTTGCAATTTCTTGCTTTCGAACTGCTAGGTTGGCAGGAGCTGGAACTAGAGACGGGAGCTCACTCCGTCATGCGGCACCCGGGTCTTGAACTGCTGAACTACCGACCTTCCGCAGCCTGCAGTTCAGCGTCTTAACCACTTGAGCCACCGCAGCTCCTGAGCTTACAATACTGTAGTTCTAAATAGTCTTCAAGCTTCCTGAAATGATTTGACCCTCCTTACCTTTCCTTTCAATTTCTTCTTCACTAGCCCCCTCATTTGAGAGAAGTTACCCTTTCTAAAGTTAAATGTGGCTGTGTTGGTCTTTTTGGGCAACTCCCTATTTATATAAATGCTAAACTTTATAGCATTATGGTCACTGCTCCCAAATGGTGCTATCACATTTACATCTCCCACCAGGTCTTGAGCATTACTTAGGACCCAGTTCAGGATCACCTCCCCCCTGGTAGGTTCTGTGACCATCTGTTCCATAGCACAGTAATTGAGAGTATCTAAAAACCCAATCTCTTTCTCCTGCCTTGAACACATATTTACACAACTAATGTGTGGGTAGTTAAAATCACCTATTATGACACAGTTATTTCATCTAACTGCTTCTCTTAATTCTTTTGCTGTTTTTAAATCATCCTCTAACCTTTGATCTGGAAGAGTTAAGCTTCCTTTTGGGCCCACTATTTCCACCCATAGCATTTCTGTAAGTGAATCTGCTTCTCTTAGATTCTCAATTTAGTGGACTGTATATGTAATGGGCTGGGGTGCCAGTGAAAGGGAGTCCAGACCAAGCCAACGTCAGGAGCCAGGAAGACAGTGCAAAGTCCAAAAAGCCAAGCTGGGGTCAGGAGCCAGAAACACAGAGCCAAGTCCAAAGCCAGGGGGTCCGAAGGTCTAGGTGCAAGAGCCGAGCCGGAATGGATGCTAGCAGCATGAAGCTGACTTGTTGCTTCCATAAAGAGTACTGCCCAGAGTCAGGGCCAGCTCGCTCACTAGGCAAACTAGGCATTCACCTTAGGGGCGCCAAACTTCACCCACCCACACCAAAAGCCCTGCATTTCCATGGCTGGGTGACCCCTGCCGCCGCCTGCCGCCTCTTTGGCTGGCTAACTTCTCCCTGCCTGTCCCCTCAACTTCCCAGCGGAGTGCTTCTCCTCCTCCTCCTCCTCCTCACAGCCAGAGACTGGCAGCTGCAGCAGCAGGGCCAGGGGAGCGACGGCTTGTGAGTGCCCTGCCAGTCAGCCTCTTCTCTGGGCACCCTGACGAGGGGCGCCAAACTGCATCCGCCCCCCGCCAAAAGCCCTCCCACTGGCTCTGACCAGGGGGGCACAGGGGGGCATGGGGGTGCCAGAAGGGATCCTCGCCTAGGGTGCAAAATAAGCTGGGGGCGGTCCTGCCCAGAGTGTGGAGTTAAATGCTGTTACCAATTAGCCAGCTGCACAATCACCCAGGCTCCTGTTAAAACTCTGGGCTAGCTGCAGGCTCTGTCAGCTCCTCCTCATTCATGCCCATGACAGTATACCCTCTCTGACACACAGAGCCACTCCACCTCTGACCCTTCCCTCCCTATCCTTCTGATATAATCTATATCCAGGAGTGACTGTATCCACCACTGATTATCCTCATCCCACCAATTTTCTGAAATGCCCACAACCTCTATGTTCTCCTCTGACACTAAGCATTCCAGTTCCCTCATTTTACCTTGGACACTTCTAGCGTTTGCATATATACATCTATAAATCACCAGACATGTTAATCCTGCAACCTTCCTCCTGTGGTCTCTAGGCCCTGCCAGGCAGTCAATATTGTTTGCCACCCTCTCAGTTGAAGACTGATGATGACTAGCATGGAGAGGAATCACAACAATGATTCCTTTTGACTGGTATTGAACTTCTCACATTATCATGGGAGCAGAAAGACTAGTGCTGATATGACTGCCATCTTGTTAGTCTAAGGTAAGAACCTGCCTGTGTGGGTTATCATGCTCCTCGTAGGCAACAATACATGGCTAGTGCACTGGATTACTTTTGTAGATTGTGCCATGATGTGCAAGCCTAATCTTAGTAATTTATTGTTGGAAACCTGGCAGTAGTTCCACAGGACTGCAATATTCATCCTGAGCAAACTGGAACATTAGTTGCTGCAGGAGGAGACTAAAGCCCTAAAAATATTGTTGCACTTGTATAAACCTGCACTCAGCAAAGTGAATGGGCAGATCCTTTTTTATATCTGTTAGTACCAGAGCTGCTACATGAAAGCAAACCAGTACACTAAAAATAATGTGAAATGTTAGGGATCATATGCTGACATGCATCAAACATGTGGCTGTGATCCCTACCACTACTGCAGAATAGCAATTGGGATAAGCACTAGAAGAGGATCCATGAAGTCTCAAAGTGAGGGCAACCTTGGGTTTCCTTAAAGGCTATCCATGGCTGTTAGTTGTATTTCCTTATCCACACAAGAGCCATACCTTGGCTATTAGATACAGGGATTAATTCTAAGACCATGATAAACCCTAAACCATATCTGTTCATTGGGCACTTTCCTACAATACTTACTTATTTTTATTATTTATTTTATTTATTTATTTATATTCTAATTTATATCCCATCCTATCCTGCCAGAGCAGGCTCAGGGTGGCTTGACCTGTTGACCTTAAGGATTCATATTTATCTTAAAAACAGATCTGACAATACTCAAGAATTAGCCTGAATAACTGGGTTTTATCCTGCTTTCCACTATTAAAATCAACAGATTTTGGAGAGCACTACCAGGGTCTTAATATAGCACTCAACACATCACACACCAAACTGAATATAGATCACCAGCCATGTTGGGTAGTCCACCAGAGGCTTCATATTTTCATTGCTTATCTCGTAAACGAAACTACAGAAATCAGAGGCATAGAAGCATCACTGAAGCTGCTGGGATAATGTGAGAAACTGTCAGCCAGGTAGCAGGAGGCAATAAATAAAGGTAGCAGGAGGCAATAAAGTCTCAAAGTGAGGGCAACCTTGGGTTTCCTTAAAGGCTATCCATGGCTGTTAGTTGTATTTCCTTATCCACACAAGAGCCATACCTTGGCTATTAGATACAGGGATTAATTCTAAGACCATGATAAACCCTAAACCATATCTGTTCATTGGGCACTTTCCTACAATACTTACTTATTTTTATTATTTATTTTATTTAATTTCTATCCCGCCCTTCCCACATGTGAGCTCAGGGTGGGTTACAACATATAAAACTCGTAACAATAAAACCAACTCTAATTCTATAAAAACACGAACCCTTAAAACAAGATGGCATTCTGAAAAACCATTTCCCAGTGTCCCGGCATGGTATAATAATAGGGAGAAGAAAGGCCAGAGCCTATTTAAAAAATTCCAATGATACAGTTCATCGCTCTCAGATAGATTCAGAGCAGGCATTATAGTCCAGTGACCCAACAATTTACAGCAAATTATGGGAGGAGGGGCAGATGGTATTTCACATCCGTTGCCTCACTGATGGAACAGCTCCATTTTACAGGCCCTGTGGAACTTATTGCTTCCATATTACTAATCACACATAGTTCCTTGTTTCATACGACTATCTCTAGACTGGGGTAGAGGCTTCATGTACCTTTACTAGTCTCTATAGGTGTTGGATCCAGGTATTGCCAGTCACCCCCAGACTGATTTATGTCTTTTCGGGCCATCCAAGATTCATTCCAGCAATGGTATCTCCTGTAGGACACAAAAGCGTAGGTGCTTTATAAGGCTGTGACCAGACACAAACCATATTTTCTAGAAATCCAAACTAGGGTGGAGTCACCCATTTTATACAAACTTGTACAGAAGTATTCTGGAGACCCCTGGCAAATTCATGAGAGGTTTATGATATACATTTTTGTCCAGGATGAATAAAATGAACCCCTGTCCTTTCCATCTGTGGGGCAAAGGCTGGGTGGTGGTGCAAGAACTGCCTTACCTCTCCACCCACTGGCATGCTTGCTCTGCTTCTGATACCAGCATCAATGCAGAGATGTAATGTTCAGTTAAGGTACACATACATACACTTTAATGAACTGAGACTGCACAGTTGATTCCTGAATGTAAATAAAAATGACAAGAAGAAATGAGCCTCTGCCCACTGGATTACGTGCATGCTCCTCATGTATGGTGAGTGCTGTTTGAGGGGTGCAGGTATACCAGGTGGGTGAGGAAGTCAGGCATGGTCTCACCCTTGATCCTCTGGTCACACAGGAAAGCGATCAGGAGTGGTCTCCTCAGATCTGACTGTCATATATAGAATGCCAATATAAAATTTAGATCATCCTTTGTAACAAAAATAGTTATGGAATTCTAACTCAGCATTAGGACTCCAGCTGTGTCACAATGACGTAGGGGGAAAAAAATCAAAATATATTCTCTTTATTGCTCTACTATAACAGGCATGACTGAAACAGCAGATGAATAAACAAAACATGATGTTTTTAAAAGCTGAGATGTGAAGAGTTTGTTTTTCCATGATCCCCTACCAACTCCTTGGATAAACCATGAATTTGGGGGGAGGGGGAAATTCTAAGCAGTTCAACTCAGATCTATTCAATTGCGCTTACTTTCAGGAAAGAGGACTGCACTGGATTTCTTGCCGATCATAGCCTTTAGGATTGCCAGGCCTTAATGGTCCAGCAGAGGGAGGCTTCGATGGCAGGGATGGGTGGAGATGGCATCACCATTACACCTTGTCGTTATTTCTGGATGAAAAACTGGAAGTGACATACCCAGGGGTCATTTCCTGCAAGAGCACACAGGAGTGGAGCTCCGGCAATAAAGAGCCAGGGGGCGGGCACATGCAACAAGACCCACCCCCTGCTCCCAGCAGCCCGGTAAACTGCAGACCCCTCCCCCCGGCCCAAAATAGTCCAGTGGCACCTTTAAGACCAAGTTTTATTCAGGTACAAGCTCTCCCTCCTCTGCGAGGACAGATCTGCAAGTCCCCCCTTCCCAATAGCTAGCAATCCAAAACAGTCCAGTGGAGCCTGAGTGGTGGGTGTTGCCTTCTGACACCCTTCCGGTGATGTCAGGGGGTGTGGCATATGCAAATAAGTTATGCTAATGAGTTAATGCTAATGAGCTCCTGCACCTCTTTTTCTACGAAATGACCCCTGGACATACCCACATCATGGTGATGCCTTAGGAACCTACACAGATGTATGTGGTTTGATCATAGAAATCCAAGGGATTCTATCACTTCTGGGTGTTGTTATTAATTATTTATGTAGATTTATTAGGCTGCCCTTCCCTGCAAGCAGGGCTCAGGGCGGCTTACAATAGAACATCATTGTTCTTGCTGTTGTTGTTTTGCCAGTAATTATATCAAGGTGCGATGTGACACCATTTCCCCCTCCCCCTTCCTTCCACTGCTCTTACAAGCAGTGGCAAGGACCAGGAGGATTTATGGGAGCCTTCCAGCTAGAAATGGTTTCTCAATTGGGCCATTCTGATTTATTCCTTAAGTAAAAGTCAACAAATTATTTCCCTTTTGGTACTTACCAGATATGTTCTTTGCCATTTAAGGTTTTTCCTGTAAAGTCAAACACTTCCTGGATGACGAGAGGGTCAACAGCATTCAAAGGACAATAGAAGCCTGTAACAACTCGGCTTGGGATTCCCAAACACCGCATAACTATACAAAAAACCAGTTATATCTTTAGAATATTTGACATAGGAGACCTAAATACTGTGTGTTGGATTCAAAGTACTGCAAGCCAAACGGGAGTTTTCCACCTCTGCAGTAGCATACTGACCCCCCTCCCCATTCTGTTCCCAGTGACCAAGGACAAATATTATAGGGAGGTGGGGGCCTGCAGTAGATGGAGGAAATCAGCAAAAACTACCCCACTTCCACCAACAGAACTACCAGTCCACTGGCATTTATGCCAACAGAAGGCAAACTAAGCAAGAGGCTTTTTGATTTATTCACAGATGCAGCCATAATATTAGGGCAGAAAAATGTCAAAGTAAATATGAGCCACTGTGTTTTTATAAATGTTTGTGCCAAACATTTCTGTAAGGTCTACTATCCGTTGCCATAATGCCAAATAACATTTGATATATCACAAATGTAATTTTCACATTATATCAATGATCCACCCATTTTAAGACTGCATTATACATTTTCACTCTCTATAGGCTTTTTTTTTCTTAATCAGACAATTTCAGAGAAAGTTCTCAAATGCGGCCTGCAAACACTGAACAGGTGAGAAAGCTTCTCAGATGTGCTGTTTTTAAAAGAGGAACTCATTTCATATAATCAGGGTGATGTGAAATTGGAAAAGTTAAATCCAATGCTTGGGAATAAATTATGTAAATTTTCATTCATGTGCTTAATTCATATTTCATTTGGGTGGCATATTTTTCCTCCCTCTGTTTAGAAGTAGTTTTATGTTTTGTCAAAAGCTGAGAAAGGAAGCTTAATGGGTTTCTCCTGTACAGAAAACTGCAAGAATTAATTTGGCTTCTAGACAATTTGTACATTATTCTTCAGTTAGCCTGACATACATTGGTGACCTAATGGGCTTTTCATTTTTATAATTTCCGACAGGGTCAGCCCAAGAGATTGTGTTGCATGATGAAAATAATCCAATTAAAACTCTGCTCAGCCCTGGTAGAAAAAGGTAGCTGATAACATGCTGATCTTCAAGAGTGCCCCACATCTGCCATAGTAGGGAGATTCTGGTTTCCTGCTTCAAAGATCTTCACAATTGTCCTTATCATGTCAAAGTCCAGAGATTTTGGTGTGTATTATTCAAAGCACACCTTTTCAGTGCTTAATGTAACATGCCACTCCAGATAGCCTTAGGGTTTCAAACTAGTGTACATGGTGGGAAGTACTATCCATACTATAAACTGCATGCTTTCAATATGGTATCCATACATCTAAAGCTAGCCTCTTGAAGTCCCAAAAATCTTCTGTCCTTATCGTGTCAAAGTCCAGAGATTTTGGTGTGTATTATTCAAAGCACACCTTTTCAGTGCTTAATGTAACAGTCCACTCCAGATAGCCTTAGGGTTTCAAACTTGTGTCCATGGTGGGAAGTACCATCCATATTAAAAACTGCATGCTTTAAATATGGTATCTATACATCCAAAGCTAGCCTCTTGAAGTTCCAAAAATCTTTTATCAATTTAAATCTAGATCATGGTTCCTTATTAGCTATGCTTTTGGATTACACACTTGAGGTTAGATCCAACACTTCCTTAACAGAAGAGGGGAACAATTTTTGCTGATTCCCTCATCTACTGAAGATTCCACTTTGCTTCCGAGACCGTTCCTGAAGGTCCTTTGTCCCCTAGGAGAAACATCTGGGGCAAGTCTATGGACTGCAGCTGCAGGCAAAAGATGGGAAAGTTCCATTCATTTAGCAGAGCTCTACTGACAGGGCTTTGGATCCAATTCTTTCTTTTTGCTTTTGGTTCGTTACTCAATGTTATCTTTGGTTCTTGTAAAAAGTGGTTGATGGAAGTCTACAGTACTGAACAGCATACATTTTTTTCCCAAACTGGTGCGTACTTTTTCATATACTTCCTTGATTTGTAATTACAGGGTATAATCATGCACCCTCCCCATCTTATAATGATGTGAATTTGTGACTGGGAACATAATTTACTCCCTTAGGTGCATTCTTTAGCTTCTGTACCTGTACACATTACAGCAGCAAGAGTCTCACAGGATCCATATTTGACAGGTTTGAATTTGTTGTGATACCACTGCTGGAGGATAGGGACACTTCCATTCCACATTAAAGGATTGACTCCCTGCAGGTAATTATTGTTGGGTGGAAGTTTCAATATGCTTTTCTTCTTATGACAACAGATCTGGAAACAGAAGGAGACTGATGTCAGAGGGTACACCATTGCTATACCCCTGTGAAATGTGTCACAGACTCTTCATACCTCACTTTCTACTTATTTACAAATGTTTGCACCCATTATAAAGGATGTATATTATATACCTGAAAGAATGAATCTCTGCTCTGGTGATACGCATGTAAATTTTAACAGTACATATTAACAGTGCAAGCTTAAGCAGAGTTACAACCTTTTAAGCCTGTTGCCTTGACAAACACCCCAGCCAGACCCCACAAGAAAGGAAAGCATGCCGAAAATGCTCCTGGGCCCCCTCAGACCAAAACACCAGGATTCTCTGGTACATGGCGGGATGAGGGCTTCTTTATCCCATGACAAGCACCTTTACACCCACTTTCACCATCTTAGCACTGAAGTCCTGACACCCAAGCTCAAGGGGTGAATAAATGTAGACCCTCAGTTGAGGCACCTACCAGTGAGGCCCTACTGCTTGGCATGAGTGATGAGGCTGTGTGGAGCAGAGCTCTAAGTTCATCTAACACCGAAACCCCAGCAGCAGAGGTATCAAATCACAAAAAGGAGGGGGTGTATAAATGTAGGCTCTCAGCTGAGGAACCCACCAGCTAGGCTCCACTGCTCAGTGTGAGCAGAAAGGTTGGGTGGCACAAAGAGCCTGAGTCCACCTAACACCTGAACCCCAGCAGCAGAGATATCAGATCATAAAAAGGAGGTGGGGTTATATAAATGTAGGCTCTCAGCTGAGGCACACACCAGCTAGGCCCCACTGCTCAGTGTGAGCAGAAGGGCTGGGTGGCACACAGAGCCCTGAGTCCACATAACACCCAAAACCCACCAGTAGAAAGACAGACAATCACAATCACATTCAGAAGGAGTGGAGGGGTGAAATGCAGACCCTCTTCAGGGAAACCCACAGCAGAAGCAAAGCCCCAGTGCTCAGGGTGAGCAGAAAGGCTGAGTGGCACACAGTGCCTTGGCCCACCAAACACCCAAACCCCAGCAGCTAAACCCCATTGCTCACTGTGAGCAGAGAGACTGGGTGACTCAAAGCCCTGAGTCCACTTATGCAAAAAGCAGAGAGCAATCCCCTGTCCAGCAAAGCTGCTCAACTTCTCTCTGGTCTATTCCTCTTCAACTCCCAGCAAAATCAAACAAGGGAGGACTGGGCTTCAGCTTGGGCTTTATATAGTTTTCAGATCCCACAGAGCTGAATAGGAGCTCTGTTATTGGCAGCCAGCAGTGCCTTAAAAGGTTTGGAGGGTACCTATTGGTGTTTCCAAGGCTGGAGAATTCCACCCCCAGAACTACCTTGGAGTTTAATTGATTGACACCAGGTTCTCTGGAAAATAGATCCATTTCATGAACCGCCAAGAACCACCCTGAAGTTCATGAAATGTTCGTTATGAGTGTGCTTCCATGAATATTGCTTTACAAACCATGAACCAGCCAAAGTTTGTCATGAACTTTAGTTCATGAGCCAGTTCATGCCTATCCCTATTGCAGTAGATGTCTTAAATTATTTTTCATTCACCATTAGCAAGGTTATGAACAGGCTCTGTTCTGAATCTTGAATGAAATCATGGACCCAGTGAGCTGCAGGTCAGTGAATTGCTATGTATGTCATGTGAACAAAGCTTTGGACACTTTGTAAACTGTTCATTTCTTCAAGAATCTGGACACATTCTCCTATCTGCCTGAAATTTGGGAATAAGCATCCCTTGGGCATTAAGTATCATATGTAAGAATTTTCTCCAGTTAGTTTGGAATCAAAAAAGTTATAGGAGGGAATGTGGTTCCACTTGAAATCACTATAAATGTCACCTTTTTACAGTAGGGAACACAAACACATGCTATAGAGCAGGGGTGGCCAAACTTGCTTAATGTAACAGCCACACAGAATAAACGTCAGATGTTTGAGAGCCACAAGACATGAACAAATATTACACACACGTTTTTATTGAAAAATATGCAAATTTGCTTGTTATTAACATTAAATTAGACTGTGTGAAAGAGCCGCATACAGCTCCTGAGCTGCAGTTTGGCCACCCCTGCTATAGAGCATCTGAACAAAATGTTAACAAAAACAAGTGTAAACCAAATTCTTATACACATCCCTAACACCATCAGATTTAAGTATTTCGTTTGGTCCACCTTTTGCTGAGAAACACAATACCAAAGGCTCTACTGTTTTGATATAATTAGATTTTACCATATTGTTCAACACTCTGCAAATGTATGCAGGGTCATTACGACAGGAACAATCCATGCCAGGATCACGCAGGAAGTTTGTACTTGAGTCCAGGATTTTCAGACAGATCTCCAAAATGTCATCCTGGAACTAAACACACAAAACTATGAGCAGTCACACTGAGACCAAATGTGAAAACAATACTGTAAATAGATTT